TGCCGGCTAGACAGGCCCTGGCAGATGCCCGCCCCGAGAACAGGCCCTCGCCCTGGCGACTGCCTCGCCAGACGGGACTGCTGTACACCTGCTCCCACGTGCACTCATGAGTGTGAGCGTGGGGGGGACACCCACTCCACGTGCACGCACACCCACTCTACATGCACGCACACAGCCAGCGCCTGGGGCCAGCACGCACCTCGGCGGCACAGGTGTGATCCCAGCACAGGCGCCGTGACCACCATGTCACAGAAGAGGGGGCACCGGCCACAGAGCTGGGCCGTGGGTCAGCCGGGAAGTGAGAGCTGTGTGCTGGGTGGTCATGGGGCTGAACTCGCCTGAAGGGAGCCCAGCAGGTCACCCCCCTCCTCCTACACCTGCCTTCCCCTGGCTGACCGCCCCTGACCACTGCAGCCCCAGGCCCTGGGCTGCACACTGAGCCACCGGGAAGTCCCAATGCCTCGGTCCGGCCTTCACCTTCTCTCCCCTGGCCCGCCCTGGACGTCGGCCAGTACCAAGCCCTCAAAGACATTTCGGGAAATGGGCCACGGCCTGGGGCCACTGAGTCCCACCAAGAATCTCTGGTTCACAAAGTGCATTTCCAAGAAGCGTGTGCAGCAGAGGGACTGACGCCATGGCCCAGCTCGTGGCTGTGCTCAGGGGAGGCCCTGTGGCCCCCACCACAAGGCGGGGAGCTGCCGACGCATCACTGCGGGAGAGGAGAGCCGTCCCTGCCAGCAGGGCCCTGTGTTCCCACCAGCTCCAGCCCAGGCGGGGCCCGAGGAAGCCGCTGGAGGAGGTGCCCAGCGGGGACCTCGCAGCCCCACCCCAGCCTCTCCCGCTCTCAAGAGCCTTACGTGGCAATGGAGACGTTCGTGGCCGACATGGGGCTGACTTCAGCCACTTCCTTGGCCTTTTGCAGAGCAAGCTTCTGATTGGCGGCCTCTTCCATCTCCTCCTCATCCTGTGAGCGGACAGAAACATGCTGTGCTGCAGAGAGCTGTCCGCCTCGTCCGCCTCCGGGCCCGAGTCCTCCCTGCCGCTGAACCTGCGCCAGGCAGCGGCTCCCGCACTGGCGCGATGCCCCTCCGCACGGAGGCTCAGTGGCCGCCAGCTCATTAAGGTGACCGTCCCAGGTGTCCCGCCCCAGCCGCCCTCCCACGTGCTGCCTCCCGAGTGCTCCAGCCCCGGGACCCAGCCACGCTGCCTGTGCAGGCGTTGGGGCAACAGCTCTTCAGCCTTCCTGTCAAAATGCAAACCGCACCTGCCCCGCCCTGGGAGCACCTGCCACTCTTGAACCCGGCCAGCTCTGCGTGGAGGCAGGGCCGGGGTCCCCACCTGAGCCTGGGTCCTCCCAGCCGCTGCCACCGGGAGTGTCAAGCAGGGGCACCTCACAGCCTCTGGGCTTTCCTACCTGTCCACCTGTCCCGGCCCTGTTGCCCCCACACCTGGACAGCCACCTGCAGGGCCTGGCCCTGTGTTCCCATCCACACTGAGTTCCTAGGAGGACCCCTGGCTGTCTGCCCTGGGGGCCAGCATGTGCTCACGTCACGAGGCAATGGACATATGGACAGACCTCTGGCCCTGACCCCACGGCACTGGGCACAGCCCACATGCTCTGCTCCTGGGTCTACCAACCTCCGGGCCGAGCACCCGGGCCTGGGCTCTGTGGGCCGCCGGCTTCTTCCCCAGCCCCAACCCCAGCCCCAGGCCCCCGGCTCCCCTGGGGCTGGCATTCCCAACACGTCCCAGAACATCCTTGAACCTGCTCTTGGGGTCGCAATGTGGCAACATTGAGGCCCCCCGTTAGCTGCCTGCCGATGTCCCACTGCAGGAGACCGCAGGCTCGGGCCGCAGAGAGGACACCCAGCCTGGTGCCCACAGAGCCGCCCGGGCCTGTCCTCAGCTCTGGACTCCATGGTGGGTGTTGGCCTCGGGGGCGAGGACATCAAACAGTGTTGTCCAAACGGCCTCCGCCTCAAGGAGCCAATGACTGCTGATGGGAACATGAAGGAGTGTCCAGCTCTGGGGCCTCGGCCAGCCTGACACACAGCCCCCCATGCCCAGAGGAAGGGGCCCCGAGCCGGGAGGTCAGTGTCCGCAGGAGCCAGGGCCCCAACATCCCCCCACGTCCTCACCCACACGGTAACCCCCGGGACAGCAGGTGCAAGACCAATGCTGCTGCATCCCAGTCCACCTGGGCCCCAAACTACCAAGAAGTGCTCTGTGGACACACGGGTCCCCCAGCACAGGCAGCCCCCCCGCAGGGGCTCAGGCCACTCCCACCTACTCCTGGAAGGTGGGGCTCAGCCCTGGCCCCTCCTTACAACAGACATGGGCAGGCCAGGGGGACCCCCAAGTCCTCAGAAGCCAGTGGCCAGAGCAAGGGAGGGGCCTAGACCCACAGGCAGCACCGGGCCTGGCGGAGAGGAGGCTGAGCAGAAGCAAAGGAAGGAGCTGGCGGGCTGCTCCCCCTGCCACACCTCCCAGTGCCCTGGTGGGGAGTAAGTGCAGGGGGGGGACAGGGGGGGCAGCGGCCGCTGGCAGCACCGTCAGCCCGGGCAGGCGCACCGGCCTCAGCAGAGGGCAGAGCATCCTGATTCCTCAGGGAGGCCTGGCCACACCGCCCAGCACAGGACAGCGTGGAGAGCGGGGATGTGCTGGGCGGGGGTGGCTGGACGGGGGCATGCACAGGGTTCACAGGCGGCATCTATGGAAACTGGCACAAAAAGGTCACAGCGTCTGCAACGGTGCAGCCCCTCTCCAGCCACCTGCGCAGGGGCAGCGGCCTCCGCTCTGTGCTCTACGCTTGCAAAGCACCCTCAGGGCTGGAACCGGGGGCGGCCAGCAGGCCTGCGGGGCTGCGGTGACGGGACCAGGCAGGGGGCTGTGTTTGCGGCAGGCACACCGCGGGGGAGGCATGTAGAAGCACATGCCCGGCAGGCCTGGTGGTGAGTGGAGACGGCACCCGGGGGCATCCAGTATTAAAGGGCAGGCGCCGTCCTGCTGCGCAGACGTGCTGAGAGGCAGCTCAGCTGCTCTACCAGGCCCAGCGTCTGAGCAGCACTGCGCCCGCCCCCAGCTCACCATCCACCTGCCACTGACCATAGGATCCCTCACTATGGGGTCCCTCCCCACCCGGGATGCACACGGGGGCCCCTCACCACCCGGGAGAAGCACAGGGTCCCCATGACCCTCTTGGGTCTTCAGAGCTGGGTGCTCCCTGGACCCCAACATGGGCCCCTTCCCTGAGGCCAGGGCAGCGGCCACCACTCCTCGAGGTCCTGTCCGGGCCGCACCTCCCTCAGCACCGGCTCCTGCCCCTCTGGCCTCTGTTCCCAGGTTGTGGCTCCGCCGAGAGCTGCCCTCGTGGGCACCTGCCTTCCTGGCGTGGCGGCTCCTCCTGCTGCCTCAGCGCCGTTCCCCAACCTGAGTGACGGCCTAGCTGCTGCCTACCCACATCTTGGACAGGGGACACACGGGCTCGACCCATGACCTGGGTCTCCTCACAGCACTCTGGCCTCATCCAGAGCAACATGGACCAACCCCACCCCTTCCTGCACCTGCTTGCAGGAGGCATCTGCCCCCCCCCC